CCTTACGCGCCGGCCGCCCTTTACCCCATGATTCCTGTTACTCATCTCTGTCAGAGGCTGAGTAGACTCCAGGGCCATAGTGCGACTGGAAGGATTAGGTAAATTGAAAAATCCACCTCACAGGGACTCGAAACCGTGCCTCAGCCAACTACGTTACCGCGTGCCCCACCGAATATTACTAGTGTGATCAAATTAAGGGGGCTGAGATGGACAACATGGGGCACGTTTGTGAGAGATGAACAATTCATGCAAAATTTTGGTCGGAACGCGTGAAGACAAGAGACCTAATTGGAGACGTACGAATATATGAAAGAATAACATTACAATTAAATTGTATCTTAAAGAAGCGGAGGTGATGATGTGGACTGAGTTCAGTTGGCTTAAGGTACAAGTGGCTGGTGACCTCTTGTGCACGTAATAACTGACCTTTGAGTGACAAAATAAAAGCAGTTTCTTGATTAGGCGAGCTCTTGGTGGTATGTTTGGAAAAATGTTATACAAATGAGACCCTGATAAGTGCTGTTTGAATATTTATAGTTTGACGTGATTAATCATATAAGGAACTGTACGAAAGTAATTTATAGTGAGAAGTGAACTGTAAGAGGAAACGATCCAAGAACCTGTCAGCAAGTTCAGAATATCATGAGAATGGTTGTGTGCTGTTATACATCGAGAGATCGATTGATAAATCTCGTTCTGAGCTTCTATGCTGCTTCTCCCGCCAAGTATCGTGCCGTAATACCAGTCAATCCTTATATCCAGGAGGTTTAAATATCCTTTGGCGCTACAGCCCCAATTTGGGCATTGGCCTTTCTACCAGAAACTTTCCGTTTCACTTCAGTTTACTAGATCTTTGACATTCGGTAGGAGTCCCTGTGCGGGTGATCAGCCCGTCGCAAGGCATCTACCTGTACACAAACACAGAAAATCGCGCGCACACACACACACAAACAAACAACAAGCTTCCATGCCCCGAGTGAGATTCTAACCCACGATCCCGGCTTCCGAGCGAGCGAAGACAATGCATGCCTTCGACCGCTTGGCTATCTTGACCGGGCATCATTTATAATACCTTTGTAATTTATGCGAAATAATGCATGTGTTTGATACAGCGTTGTTAAGCAAAGCAAAAGATAAAAGGAATTATGTTATTTAATCTCTCTGAAGTGGAGTTATCTTTCTCGCAAATTCTGTCTTTTCTTATCAGAGTCGGTTGTTGTACATATCGTTGACCTAGCGAAGAATGTAATTTTTGTGGTTTTCTTTAGTGCAAGATTGAAATAAACCCATTGTGTTCTTAGATCAGCTGATGGAGTTTTAATCAGCAATTCTAGTTGTGTATCATTTTATGTCTCAAATTATTATGCTGATTTTGGAACTTTTCTCCCATACAAAGACGTCTGTTCAGAGGCAATACTATAGACGTTCACTTCAAGAGCATATTTTTGCAGACCGAAAGCATATCAAGATGATTTATAAGATGAGGCAGTCATTTGTCTAGATATACTTGACTAAATTTTATGACTGTCTTTGATGGCCGCTTGGAAATTGTGTTAGAGTTTAATTACCGCTATCAATGAGTACGTTAATTTAATGGGTATGCTTCCACATATGTTTTAATATAGGATTTCTGTAACGGTATTAAGACGTAGGAAACTGAACACTTTAATGACTTAACAGGATTCTGAATCCTGCGTTCAGTAGTTACAAATGTGAAAATTCCATTATAGGCTTGCTTACATAGGAGGAAGGGCCGTGCCATAGCTCAAGTGGTTAGTCACTGGCTTTCCACCGCGGCGGCCCGGGTTCGATCCTGGGTCTGGTCAAGTGGGATTTGTGGTGGATAAAGTGGCGCTGTGGCAAGTTTTCTCCGAGTACTTCGGTTTCCCCTGCCAATCTTCATTCCACCAATTGCTCTACAATCACCTTCACCTATCATCTGGGGCTGGTACAATAGGCCAGAAGTGGCCGCAGTACAAGGGACTTAGTCCCACCCCACTAGCAATAAAAAAATACGTAAGAGGAAGCTTATGCCATACGGAGGTAACTTTCCGCAGCAGGCGTCCGGCAAAGAAGTTGATTAAGTTATTAAATATATTTTATGACAATCGTATTAATATGAAACAAAGGCCGCGCCATAACTCAGGTGGTTAGTCGCCGGCTTCCCACCGCGGCGTCCCGTTTTGAAGCGCGGGTCAGGTCATGTGGGATTTGTGGTGGACAAAGTGCCATGAGGAAGTTTTCTCTGAGTACTTCTGTCCCTCCCTCCCAAGGTGTATCCACCTTGTCGTGGTGGTGAGGCCTGCGTGACTGTGATCTGGAGAGCTATGCCGGCGGTAGTTTAGCTACCGGTAGGGTCACCCATGCCAGAAAGGTCAAAGGGTAGAATCCAGACTAAGAGAGATACCCTGTTCCCCCAGGTTGGGGGTTGGGCATGAGGCTAACCACCTCATGCTGTAAAAAGGATTTTGTTCAGAAACCTAACAACCAACCTCGGGTCATCATGCGTGGGTCCGTTCCTACGGCAGCACGCACTGGTTGTGGAGACTGGTCGTAGAGGAGGTCAAAGCTCATCCAGGGCTGTAGCACTGAGTGGTATGTAGATACGTACGTTTCCCCTGCCAATTCTCGCTACACAGACTTCTCCACATTCATCATCATCTATCATCCGGTGCTGTTACAGTAGCAGCAGTACGAAGTGGACTCAGTCTCACTCCATGAGAAAAACAAAATGAAACGAAATACGTAGAACTCTTTATTATTGCAGACATGTTGGTATGCTTCGTCCTTCTTCGTGCTCATTTCATAGCCATATAACAACGAACCGCTGGAAGAATTTCTTGGATCGAAATGCTGTCAGTGTGTAAAGGACTTGAGCCAAACAATGCGATCCATGGCTCCTTTAATTACTGTATTAGGCTAACCGTCTGATTCAGACAATGGGTGTGGGAAGTGAGAGTCCTGAAGAAAACAGCCAGTATACAATTTTTACGGCAGCACTGTCTGCTGTAACGAATCTTGATCATGAAGAATTAGGAAAAAGGCAGGAGGCTTTAGGTTGATCAGTCGGAAATTATGAAATTAGGTAAACCTGCCGTGACTCGAACAGCCCTTCTCCGAAGTATAAGTTGAGACCTTTACCGCAGCTCCATGCCAGTGTTGGAATCTTCAGGCAGATCGTAACGGGGACTGTGTACTATATGGGTTTCCTGAGATTCCTGCAATATTGTCTGGGGGCAGTTGTACTATGTCGCCAAAACCGAGGAGAAGAGGCACAGAAATGTGACAGAAACAGCGAAGTTTTGGCATGATGCAGTTAAGACGGCAGCTACAACAGTCGGCGCCTTAAAAGAAAACTTTTCTTGTTAATCCTAAGCTGTGGCTACCAATGTTGTCCCTTAGATCACTCAGAAATTCAGCGGATACCACATTCTCTGCCTTTGTGTAACAAAATCGTGACAGGACCTCGGCTTACGTCAACTAACAGGAGCTTAAGTTCTTCCTGCCTGTAGCTTAAAGTTTAAATCTTCGCTTATATGTATTTTCTGTAATGACGTTTGAATATCGATGCTTGTAATTAAGATTACGTTCTTGATGATACCGCATATTCTGAAGTCAACCAGAATACACGGCACCACATCCCAGAAGACCGTAATCTTAATATTCGTTACTGCGGGGATTTTAACAATTTTATATTAATGCTTGAAGCAATAATTCCAGAGCATTCTGATATGTGTTAGCTGCCCTTCCCGGAATTGCAGATACGAATCAGTAGCCCTGTATAGCTCTCCACTGTTAATTTCTGTGGAATAAAAATTTAGTTATAAGGTGATATGCTGTACACAGTATAGCGCTTCAGGAATGATGTATTCTGGGATGTGCAGTTTGGTAAGTTGTCGTTTGACCATAGAGGAGAACTTTCAGAAATTTGATAGAAATAAAGAAAGCTATCATATATAGTTTCAGAAACAAATTTCCCCCCACTATAACAACGAATTTTCTAAAATCTATAGTTATATTTAAATTGCCAATTCCGTTTTGCTTGTATTTAGTTTGTACTGCTTAGAGAGGGGCACGAGGTAGCGTAGTTGGTTGAGACACTATGATACAAGCCGGAAAGTCGCGGGTTCGAGTTCCGATGAGGTGGATATTTTCAATTTACCTAATCCTTCCAGCGGTACTATTGGCCTCGGGTCGACTCAGCCTCTAAGGGCGGCCGTACACCAACTCCGTCAAGACAAGCATCAAGACATGAGACAAAAGTCGAAGTCTTGCTTCATTCGTGATTCGTCAGCATCATGACTCAGACCGGTGTGCGGCGGTTTTCATAATCTCATTCGTTTCAATTGTGCTCATTTCTTTGCGTCACGTCGCAGACATCGTGTCTTGACTGTTACATATCTTGACGCATGCCGGTGTGCGGCCTACCTTACAGAAATGAGTACCAGGAATCTTCCTGGGGGTAAAGGGCGACCGGCGCGTAAGGCTGACAGCCTTGCCGCCATCTGTGACCCGATTGTATGGAAGATGTGGGAGCCTCAACCTCTCACAACCCTATGGGCCTCCACGGCCTGTTACAGGGATAGCATTTTACTGCTTAGAGAAGTAGGATGCTATTCTAGTTTCTGAGAAACAGAAAACCGACACTCAGTCGCTCATGTGCTTCAGTAAGAAAAGATAAAAGGAAACACATCAGTGTCTTGATCATATTCACTAATTTCCTGTCAGTGGACTTCGATTTCAAGAGATTGGACTCAGGCTGAAATGGGAGTATGAAAGGCACTGACTGACTGACTGACTGACTGACTGACTGACCACCTTAATATCTCTTTGCGCTTGTTTTATAAACAGCATTTTTTGTTGAAATTTGTTTTTTGTTGTTGTTATGCAGTTCCAAAGTTTCAGATGACCTGCTGCCTCCATGGTTGAAGAATTATTTCAACGCCGTGAAAGCCTAAAGCATAATATTGCATTACTATGCATTATCCTTTATTTTACAGGTCCTTGGCGCTGCTGGTCTTCATCCTAGCTACGTACTTCAGCACGGTTCTAGCCAGACGTGTAAGTAAATTTAATGAGTTTCTAGCAGTATTCAGTTTAGTTGCTATTGGAGGGGTTCAGTCTTGCAGCAGTTCGCATAAAGGCACCTAGGCCCAAAGAGTAATTTACAGGTCATTGTTACCTTTAAGATTTTGGTTTCTGGTGGGGTAGCTCTGTTGAAACCGGCGTTATTTGTTTGTTTGGTTTGATATCGCGCAGCTGTGGTAACAGATTTCGGTAAGTGAAGTATAAGAAAGTACAGTATCTTTCGCCATATTTCATGATGCCTGTACAGAATTTAAAAGACAGACTCCATAAAATTACGAAATTTTACATTACATTCTTCGACCAATGCGGTCATCATCACTCACTCACTCATGGAGTTGAGCCCTTCTTGAGAAGCTGCCAATTGTGCAGCCACTCAAGAACTTCCCAGCATTTTATGGAACCCGAAGGTTTATTACAGTGTTCAGAAGAGCCTTCCACTGGATCCTATCTTGAGCCAGATCAATCCAATCCATACCATCCCATTCTATCTCTTTAAGACCCGTTTTAATATTGTCCACCCACCTACGTCTTGGTCTTCTCAGTGGTCCCCTTACTTCGGCTTTCCCACCAATACCCTATATGCATTCCTCCTTTCCAATATTCGTGCTACATGCCCTGCCAAACTCATCCTTGACGTCATCATTTTAATTATACTTCATTATCAAGTGTTAAAAATTATGGATGAGGAAATTGCTGTCTTCTGTATCGTTGCTTAGGTTGTTGAGGAACACAACCGTCCACCTCGAATACGCAAGCGCATTGAGGGGGCTGTGTATTAACAACCTAAGCAACGATACAGAAGACAGCAATTTCCTCATCCATAATTTTTAACACTTGGTAATGACCACAGTTGTCGAAGCTTGCAGTGTGAAAGCTTTAAATAAGTGTTACAGAAAGGCCGCGCCATAGCTCAAGCGGTTAGTTGCTGGCTTCCCACCGCGGCGGCCCGGGTTCGATCTCGGGTCTCGTCAAGTGGGATTTGTGGTGGACAAAGTGGCACTGGGGCGGGTTTTCTCCGGGCACTTCGGTTTCCCCTGCCAATCTTCATTCCACAAAATTCTCCATCATCATAATCACCCGGGGCAGGCTACAACAGGCCAGTCAGTGGCCGCCGTGCCGAGTGGACCCAGTTGGACTCCACCCCCACTAAGCGAATTAAAAAAAATGTTACAGAACATTAGTGTTGCAAGTGAGACTGTGGAAATAATTGATACCGACTGTTTTGTTAGGTAGTTGTTCCAAGATTATTTAAATAATTCTGATTTAAAGAATGCGCAAGGAAGTGACAAGGCAAAGGGTAAATGCGAAACAGTTTGGTCCCGTTATGTGGGTTGGGTTAATTGATGTGCAGCTGAAAAACTGAAATAAGCAATGAGAACGTTTCTATATTTTGTTCGTTGCCGATTATCTCCGAAAATCTTAATTCTGCCTCTTTTGAACCAGTAAAATATTGTCACGTGTAGGGTGGTGCGCGTGACAAAAATAAAGGGTTCTAGTTCTGGTGATTGGATTTATTAGCACCTTGGTTACATGTTCTCTTAATCACACATAAATACAGCGCGATCGCTGGTTTACACAATTTCCCGTTCACCCTTGCACACGCACTAGGACTGTCCGTCTTCATTAGTTGTCTCCTGACAACGGATTCCAACGCAGAAATTAGCAGTTCAGATCACTATGAAGTCTTCTTTCTATTTCGTGTACAATCACTGTGGAAACTTGAAACTAAAAATTCTTCTGACTCACTCCTCCAGCTTACGACTGCTTCGTAACTGCCCCGAACTAATTCCGTCACTGCATTCACGTCTCTTATAAGCACTCTGCACAGACCTCACGGAAAACACCATCTATATTGTTTATGACGTCACCGCTTACGAGGAAGTATTTTTACCGAGCTATTGCTTAGAAACGGGTTGCATAATCCCGTTGTTCCACCGCTGCTAGGCACGGACGACAACGAAAACACAGCCTCATCTATTGTTGCGTGAGGGACCGTGTTTACAGAGTAGTTGCCTGGCAACGCGGTGATAAAATACGTTACACTATGTTCCTCTTGCATACATCGCCAGCGTTCCAAAGTCATCTCACTGCATTAACTCCGCGACGCTAAGATTCTCACCGCCGCGCTAGGACGTGCTTAGCTCAAGCCTAGCCATTACGTCGAACTGAATAAGGAAAGGACCAGAGATAAAACTGTAGGGAAGCTTTTATTTCGTCTTTGGTATTCTCTGAGCAATGAACTCGTCAAGATGATGCTCTAATAGCATTATAATGCTTTAGCAACTTAAGAGTTCTCTTTTATGATGACGTTCGTTGTTATTCCCATAAAGTCTCCTCCTCTTGTGCGGTGTTAGCTTGAAGGGCTGTTGAAAAGCAAGAACAATTTTAATAACATAATTAGTTGCGTTGTAGAGTTTCTAATTTTTATGGGCCATTAAATTTAACTCTTATGTCGTCATTGGTGCATTGGCCACTCATTTCCATAAAGCATTTTGGGAATTAAGGCGTCATAACCATTTGTTCAAACTATTTACTGCAACGATTACTTTTAAAATGTATAATTTAAATATATTTCCCAGTTTTAACCCTATTAATCGAATAACATGAAAAGAACAAATACTACGCGAGATACCAGTTCATCACTGCCACTGTCTCTTCCTTTCAGCAGATGGTTTTATTTAGTCGTTTTAATTTCATGGAAACAAATTACATATAATGATATCATAGAACAACCGCGTCTGTGGTCTAGTGGTCAGCGTCCCTGGCTACAGATCCAGAGGTCCGGGTTCGATTTCCGGCGCTACCAGATTTTTCCTGAGAAGTAGTGAGTCTGGAACGGGGTCCACTCAGCCTCGTGATGATAATTGAGGGGCTATTTCAAGGAAATGACGGCTCCGGTCTAGGAAACAGAAATTAAAGGCCGTGGGGATTCGTTGCCCTGACCACGAGACAACTTCTATCCGCAAAAGTTGGTACTAAACTTCGCCGACAAGCGGCGGTCGTTCGGTCGGTATAGTTCACTTGCGGACTAGAGGCCACGGAGTTTGTTGTTTTGTTTGGTATCGTAGTATTGTTACTCGCCATCATGGTAGTGGCTGTGATGCTGGTCACGGTATGTAAGCGTTCCTGACCTAATTGTGGTATTATCCAGCAATTTATATAAAATTGTCGAGGAAAACCACGGAAAAATTGATCTTCGGCCGAAATTCGACACCTCCCAAATACAATTCACAAATGTTACCACTTGAATCAACTTGGTATGTGTGTAAAGCTCTCAAGCGTCTATTACTTTGTAATCTTTGTCCATCCCCTGTAACTTTTAAATTGTAAACCAAATACCGTAAATTGTTGTGAATTTGGAATTTAAAGCACGTCTTGTGGATAATGTGATTACATTCATTTACCGTAGCTCGCTGGACGGTCTTGTGCAGCTAACAGGAGGAGTCAGTTTGTTTCCGAGCTTGTTTATCAACCCAAGCTGAATGATTGATGCAGTGTAGCGCAGACTCACCCACCCGCACAAAAGTAGCCAGTGACTGCTGTAGATACGAACAAAATTCGTCTGCAGACAAAAAAAGAAACCTTCGGTGACCGCGGGAGACATTACTGGTGGCGGCGTGTGACCGCGGTGGCCAAACCCGAGGACAGTTGGAGCAGGAACAAGCTGCAATGTGAGAACGCAAAGTATCCCAGAGTTTCCAGCATTAAAAATAGTAGCAGTGTGGTCCTGGGCAAGGCCGGCGGATGTGAGACGTCCGCTCTCAAATATGGAGTGTTGCATGCAGAACTAGTTCAACAGAGGATTATATAGGTCATGACCTTGCGGGAACCGGCATAAAACGAGGTCACTTCCCCTCCAACAATCTTCAGCTCCGCCTTAATAAACTAATGAGTAAGGACGATGTTCACGGGTTCGATCCTGATTCTGGCATGTTAATCGCGACAGCTATATGTACAGTATGTGGCAATGTATGTATCCATTTCATGGAAAACAATAGTTGAAAGAGTTGAGCATAGTGTCTCAAGCGGTGAAGCTATTGTCTAGCTATTGTCTTGCATTTTAGAGGTTCTCGGAATGAACTTCGACCGGAACACAGCCAGTCCTGAGTTCCTTCCCGGTTCTGTCAGGCCCGCCACACATATTTCAGGATAGGAATTTTTAAGTCAATAAATCACGCCGTGTCCGCTTCCTTTCACGTCCTTTCCAACTCATTATTCACTATTCATTCATTTACTCGTCGCTGTGTAGTCCGAGCTACTGACAGCTTGGTTAAATAAATTACATATGAAGTAAAGGTAAAAAAAGGTGAAGTTGTCCCTGTTCTCAGTCATGTACTGCGCCATGAAGGCGTATAGGGGAGTGGATGTATAAATCCACATTTTCTTGACCTCGACACTAGCTGGAGGTGAATGGTCAGCTTCACGCACCGGCCTCATTACTCCCGGGGAAAGAGCCCCCGATATCCAATGGATATAAGGTTGGGTGGACCCCAGAGCCGGTCTGGACGACTTGGAGAAGAGAAAATTCTTGACTCTACCGGGACTGGAACTCCAACCTCTCGGTCGTCCAGCCTGTAGCCAGTCGCTATACCGACTGAGCTACGGTTCCTATAAGGTAAAGTCCCTGTGCCTAATTAATTGAGCATCATGCCGTGAAGACGTATGGAAGAGTGGTGGTATAGCTCCATTGTTATTCATCATCATCATCAGTAATCTGTCAAGACGACAGGTCCACAGTCTCTTTCAAAACAATTCCTCCACTTAATGCGATCTAGAGCTTTCTCCTTCAAATGACAGTATCCTCTTCTGTCCCCAAGGTCATCCAGCATCTTCTTACGTCTTCTTCCTCGTCTTCTTGTCACTTCTATCCGCCCATCTATCTTTCCTTCGATAGCTTCTTTTAGAAGGCAGTTTCTGCGTAAAACATGACCAATCCAATTAGCCTTCCGTTTTCTTATTTCATGTAGGATATT